TTGCTTTCCTTCACTCAGTCCTAGTGGTGCTATTGATTCAGTGTGGCCTCTTTAGATGTCCCGCTTCGAGTACAGGCACCGATTTTTACACAGCTACATTCTGGCCAGAGCACTGCCTGGCTCCATAGCCAGACAGGTGATAAAATTCATCAACACTTAGGATCTTTACATGGAAACTGGCCATCTATCTATTTTAGTCTCAGGTTCAAGCAGAAGTTTTATTTATCACACAATCAACATCTTTTTGTTATGAGTATATTTTGCTATATGGATTTATAGGACCTAATGAAAACTCACTTCTTGCCTAGGAATTCCTGGCCGTATGAAGGGTCATTTACTGAGGTCAGGAGTGCTCATATACAGCAGAACGAATAATTTCCTCTACCACAGCAATTACTGGCAAAAATCAATGACCCCTGTTAAGCTGGAGGCCAAGGTAAGTAAATGCAATAGTGCTTTCTAGTTTTAAAAACTCCCAGAGCCTCAGAAGCATGCCTACCTTTAGACACGTATTGAGGGCAACTATCTAGCCATCTACACAAGATTCCTATTAGGATGCCAAACTTCCTAGTATTCCAAGGTCAAAAAATTTATTTTAGTGCAACTGAAATGCAATCTTTAGCTAGCACCGAGATTGTCTAATTGCTGGAAAAAGATCTCCAAAGACTTCATGCAGTTTAAGTGTAGTGCTCACCTATAAATTACACTAGTGTTATGAACACAGTGTCACACAGCTCGGGAGACTCTTCAATCACAGAACTCCCGGTGCAGAAATAGTTCAGCTCTGATTCAGAAGACTCAGCTCTGCTGGTGTGTCTGTCTCCATGCCTTTTCAGAGCAGCATCTGCTGAAACGGCTAACTTAATGGTCACTTCGACTTTTTGTTTGCAAAGGACATGGGCCCTGAGGAAGAAGTGGGCTAAAGCCATTGCATTCATGGCACAATTACTGCTGCTCTTCACCTTTTTCTTTATTACTTTTTTTTTTTTCCTATATAGATTCAGGCTGGGAAGCAGATGGACTGGCCAGCTCTACCCCTCTGCTTGCAGTGCACTACTTTTAGAAGTGGCTTATTGCTCCACTGCTTTTTTTCAATTCTTAAGCCAAATGTGCAATGATGGATTTGGCAGCCACGCTCTCACCAGCCACCCCCAGTCAGCTGAGCAGCAGTACCTTAGCCGCGGGGGGATGCGAAGGCTGCTCTCTCCCTGTTCTGAGATGGAAGACGGTTTCTCCATCAGGAACACTGAGGTTAAATGATGAATGAGGGTCTCAAGGAAGCTGCAAGAGCAAGTTCATCTGCATTTGCAAAATCTACAACTACATGATTTGCAAATGGTGGCAGGGATCTGTATGTATGGAAGGGTCTGCCTTCCCATCATTAACCTCTTAAACCAAACACCTGGCACTGCAATACCTCCTCATTTTTAAACTGTGGATCTGAAGCATCCAAAGTGAAAAACCTTTCCCTGCATTTGTCTGAAACCTTGGCACAACATTACTAGCATCATTTAAGTACAGACCAGGACTCAGACACAGCCAAACCTGCACCCTGATGATTAGCATGCCTCACAGTGTCTAACAGACGTTTGACTTAAGAACCCAAGAATTTCATTGCTCAAACACTTTATTAGATCCCTAAGCCTAAAAATGGTTTTCAATAATGTGTGTGCTGCTTTGGGGCCTCAGAAAAGCTACCTGGGAGCTAGGAAACATTTCCTAGGAGGCAAAAATGTGATCAAAAACATATTTGATAAAAAGGAGAAGGGGTAATGATGTTTTTTAACTGCAATTTTATTTCATCTCAGAAGCATGCTGTAAGTTTAAGAGGGAGGAACAACTATTGGATTTTTGTTCTGCATCTTTTTTAAAACAAAATGATTCTCATCTAGGGTTGGTAGGGTTTTTTTTTTTCCCCCTAAACCCAATAAACTATATATTGGAATGACCTTGTAACGGGTTTCTGTGGCTCTTTAATCACCAGTAGCTGCTAAATGAAGCATATCTATTTTCTCCGTTACATTACTATTGGCAACCAGGTCTTCAGTAAGTGCCCAGAAATATTTCCATGGCAACAAAAAGCATTCAGCATTGCTACTGTTCTGTGCCAATTTAGCTTTAAAATATTCTATTGTGGAGAGAAACATGGTACATTAAGTGAAATAAAGTCAAGATGCAATGTTCTGAAAAGAATATAAGGATAAACATGAAACATGTATTTTGCAGAAATAGGGAAAAAAATGCCAAATGGAAGGAAAAATATTCAAAGCTAATATTGATGCTACTGAATGCCTTTGCTGAATGTCAGCCAGTCCATGTGCTCACTTACATTGTGACTTAGGGTTAGGTAACAAAGCTAACAGAAATAAGGATACCTCAAACATCTTCTCTTGATCATTTTAATCCATGACTGAAATTTTAAGTTGCCAGGGTATTACAGCCTCTCTGCATGTCTAGGTTACCATCAGAAGAGTTCATACTCTTGATGTTAGAGAATGAATCTAAAGGAAAAAGAGGAAATAAAGAGTTGAAAAATGAAATACCAAGAGCACGTGTGTGTTTTGGAAATGAAGGGTCACTTTGCAGAGCAAAACGAGTTCTTCCACATCAAAGATCTTGCGGAAGACATTTTCAAATCACAGTTCAACACCTTCTCTCCTATTATACAACTTAGTTCTAAGAAAAAAAGGCATCAGCGCCCAGCCGTCCAACTCTCAAACAGCCAACTTCATGACTATGAAGTCTTGAGACCACTGGATGGCCCTTTGTGCAGAGCATTGCAGAAATAAAAAGATAAAAGACTATTTGAGAGCATTCGCAGTGACATTCCCTCTGGTGTAAAAAAAGCTACGCAATGCCCTCTGAAGTGCTTCGCGTGGAAGTAGAGAGCTCTAGGCAGCAGCAAGGTAGGTTCTGGGGAGCTCTGTAAGGCCAGCCTTCCAGTCCGCAATGGCTCCAGACACCTGACTGAGAAAGACAACCGATAAATATTGAGAGAGTCCAACAGCAACTTGATCAGTACCCGCTCTCAGCTGGGAGAGAGGTTCGGAGTGACTCTTTCCTTTAGCTGCAGCGATGGGTTACTCTGGCATCTGACTGTCACTCTGTGTGTCTCTCACCAGGAAAATTCATCTGGTCCATAACACGTTCCTAAGCACCCTCTTTCTCAGATGTCCCTTCAGACAAGACCGCTCTGACAGCATCAGCAGCCCATTCCTGGCCCCCGTTTCCCCTGAGAGCTCACCACCTTTTCTCCCATCCACTGTGAGCAAGGGCATAGTCCAGAGACAGGACAAAGATCTGGAGGCCACCATCAGAATAATGCATTCAGCAGGTGGCTGCTCCCCAGCCCACCCTGAGAAGCCCTGGCATTTGCCATGAATCGCTCTAACAGCCCCTCTTGGGGGTACAGGCTCTGCAGCAGACAAGGTTGTGCCCTGGACAACACTTGTCCAGGAGGATCCATGGCCCTGGCACTCCCTGGAAGGACACTACCATGCCCTACTCCATGGCGTCTGTGCACACACTGGACACATGATCCAAGCACACACGGTAAATCCAGCCCTGCAGCATTGACTTGGTGCCTATGGACAAACCCTGTGGGCAGGATATCGCACAGGTGATGTATAGGGGTACCAGAAGGTAGGGGATCTGTACAGGTTAGAAGTTGGGCTCCAAGAGATACAGCTCTGGGGTGCTTAACCTAAGAACTGGCATTCATTCATTTGGAATATGAAACAAGTAGTCCCAGTTTGGGAAACAGAACAGCTAGACCAAAAGCTCTTTTTAATTATTTACTCCCTGGTCATAACAGTGTGAGGAATAGTAATAAAGAAAAGAGCTAATTTTAACATTCATTAAAGAACACCGTCAAGGTTTATACCCTCTCAGTCTGATATTCCTATTAAATACAAAAACAAACAGGCTGATCTTCCACAGTTTGCACAGAAATGGCTAAATCTGTAAGACTTCCTTAGAAGCCAAGAGTGATGAAAAGCTTTTGGTCATTATAAAACGAACATAGACACTTCAAGCCAAATTCTGAAGACCCTCAGTGAGTCTCAAGTTTTTCATCAGTTCAATATTGTAGACCCCAGCCCACCCTTCCTCCCTTATGCCCCTTCCTAGGATGTTCGTAAAGAGAGGCTTTAACCCAGCAAGACCCGAGGACGGTGTCAGCAGGACTGCAGCTTTGCTGCTTGTGGCTGGGACACAGGTCTCCATCAGTCCTCTGTGACCCAGGTAACTTTCAGCCACATTTATGGTGGTATTTAGTGAGTACAAGCCACATGGCTGAAATTCAGTCCTGAACACCATCGTCTGAAAAGCTGTTCATGTCACTTAATGATCAGAAGTCATAGTTAGGCCTATTTAAAACTGAAAATATCAAATTCAGTTCTCCTTCCCATAATCTCCTGCCTGCTGTCCTCTTCAGTCTTATTTGAAAAGTCTGTGGGGGTGGTGGGAGGAGAGGAAAGCGATTTGGGAGCCTTTCATCCATAAAATCATGAGATATGGCTGGCTTTTTAGTACAGCATTTCACAGCACATGGCACAGTAACATCTTGAGATTCCTGGCACAAAGAAACAAGGTTTGAGATTATATATATCTTTAATAGCAATGACGCAAAGGCAGATGGTTCTCAAAGCAAAGGCTTAAGGCTAAACACTCCCTTTGAAGGGTCCTGCTACCAAAAACAAAACATGGGGGGAGCAAAATACTCCTTGCTACAGCAATATGGCCTGATTGCCGTCTAATACACAGCATTTCACCCTGGAGATTTCCACTTATTTCAATGAGATTAGTTTCACGAACAAGAGAAGAATCGGAAACAGAGGAGGAAAGGTTAGATTTTTTTCTTTGGGATTTGGGGAGTTTTATTTTAGCTGTGGGAAACAAAGACAACACAGAACATAATGAGCAGATTAGCAACTAAATCAAATCAATACTAGACAAGAGAGGTCTGGATAATACTGTCAGGGTGCGTGCTAGCTGCTTACCTGCAAAACTTGCCTTGCCATTATTACTTTTTAAGGAGCCGCTCATGCTGAGGTTGTGCTCATGGCCTCCCATCCTCATAGAGGGCTCACCTTCTTCCTCAGCGATGGCAGGAAGCCGATCGAGCGGCTGGAGATCTTCATTCATCCAGTAGGATCCATTGGCTGTCAAAGACCTGGTGCTTTCAACACACTGCTCTGGTAAGCTGCTGGTATTTTTAATCTGTTTTTGCCTCTGCAGACCCATGTCAGAGCCATGAGGAAGGGCTCGTGAAGCAAGATCAGGACCCACAATGTGACCATCTTCTCTAGGATACAAGTATTCCTCATCCCAGAGGTCCAGGTGGTGTTCATCATCTGCTTCCTCAGAATACTCCTCATAAACTCCTCCATTATTCTCCAAGTCCCGGTTCCTCTCTTCTTCGGACTTACGACCCACTCCACTCAAATTCAGCAGTGAAGCAGATATAGAGTCTCCTGCTTGTTGGATAGCTTCGTATATTTGAGACATCCAAGATGACAGTGGCTGAAGGAAATTCTGAGCAGCCTCAGAAGCCATGTTTAACACTATGCCAGTATCTGGTGATCAGTTGTTCAGCTTTGCCAGCATGTCACTTATAATTCAGGGAGCTACAGAATAAGCACCATAAGAGATTACTGTAAATTGCTTGTCCATCAACACCTGTCGACACACTATCTACATAAGATGTCTAGAACTGAGAGGAGAAACAGAAAAAGGACTTCTACCCATTCAGAATACCACTAGAAATCCAGAAATGATGGACAAATTACACATATTCCTGCAGAGATCTGGAAAGCTTTCATTCAATTGCTAAACCTTATATAAAAATAAGAACAGAACATCGGAGAAGTACCTTTTCTGAAGCACACACATTCTGGTTACAGCTGTCAACAGACCTAGTAAAAAAAGTACAAAACAACTTGCAGTCAAAAATCTCAGATAATCTCCTGGCCCTGACTTCCACCACACCCTTAGCATTAGCAGGTCCAGATGGGGAAATTGAAGGGGGGAGAATTTGGGGACAATTATGTTTTGATTGATTAAAGTGACAGGCCTAAAGTTCACAGAACCAGCCCGTGGCAGACAACTCTCTCAAATGCTTTGCTCCAGAAAGGCTCTGAGGAAGCCCTCTCTGCCCACAGAGTAACACAACCCAGAGTTGTTTTGCCCTTCACAGAAATGAGCAGAACAAAGGAGGTGGAATATTATAGGTATGAAATTACTGGGAACAGGAGTGAGTTAACAAAAGCATTGGTATCATGTCAATATGTCCATTAAAACCCATAGTGGCTGGAATAAGCTACTGGTTATACCTGCTTCAGCCATATCTTCACTACAAAAGCAGACACAGACCAGATCTTTATAGCACTTCTTCAGTACAGAGCAATCATGATAAAAGTATTATAAAAGCTGGCATATTTTAACTGTTGTTGAAGTACTACCACACCTGGAATAACCACGTATTTGTATAATTGTAAATATTAACCTTTTGGATCAAGATAAACTCAGAGATATGACATTTCTGAAGCTGGGATGGAGACAGGCTGTTCCTATCTTGTTTTCTAAAAACTCATATAAAGCCTAAATAAAAACAGAGGCCTTTTTTGCTTTCATAACTTGCAGAAAGTTAAGGTGCCTTTTTGCCCAATATACATCTTCCCACATTATCACAAGACACATATTCTTTTAGGAACTCTGAGAAAAAGGAAAAACCTACAAATAGGATGATTGGTTTAGGAAGAAAGAATTAAATAGTTGCAGATTTTAGGCTAAAAGACAACTAAAAAGAAGCAAAAAGAAGCTTCAAAAATTAATACCAATGTCTTTTTGAATTTAGAGATCTAGGAGCAATCAAACTACAGAAGGGTAAATACAGTATAAGCAGCAAGAAAATAAGCTCAGCAGCAATGTGTATTACCTTGTGAAATGGTCTCCAGAGAAATGTAGTGGTAATCCCAATGTTTTAGATTTTTAAATGGAGCATGGACAAGGAGATCCCACCTTGCTTAGGGAGCAGCTTCTTTACATATGAGATCAGTGACTTAAGAGGTCTTTACCTTTTGAAACACCTGTGCAGAATAATTTTGTTCAGTGATGTTGACTTACTGTGCAGACAATTCCAACACGTTTATTACCAGCTTCAGTGTGTACTAAGAATTACAGCCCTAACAAGGGCAGTAAATGAACGTAGGTTACTAGAGCCATTTTAAAAGCCGATGGCTGTTACAAACTCTCCGGGCTCGGGGCGCGCGCTGTTCCAGTACCCACCTGTCAGCCGCTGGCCTCTGGCTCAGCCACTGGGACCAAGGTAACGCTCCCTGCCACGCGTTAAATCTTTGGCAAAGAACAGACAATGTCATGGCGTGACCTCCCAGGTGAGCTGTTCCCTTCGTTGACTCTCCTCTTTCCAACCCTGTCCTTGTCAAAGCCTCTCTGCTTTGTACAACTTATTTCCTCATAGTCCTAAACTGAGGACACGCTCCAGACAACACCCTTTCAGCATAACACAGATTTGCTACTAGTAAGTCACAGCACCACGGAAGTCACTGGGAGGAGATGGTACTTCTAACAGTGAGATTCTCCCAGGAGTGGAAGGAGGTAAATTTGGGTGGGTAAGTACTGGATGCTGGAACCTGTCATTTATTTACAGGCAACAGCAAATGAATCTCTGATTTCTGATGAAAGGAGGACTTCGTAACGCTCTGCCTCCATCTCAGCAGCAAGATACGTGACAGCAGCAGCCCTTGGAGGGCTGCAGGCATCCAAGAGTGATAGCTAACCAATGCAGATAAAACATATGGGTGCTAAAATGAAGCGCTGATCTGTTCTAAAAATCAACAGAACAGACTTGTGCTATTTGCATAGGGAATAATTAGCTCCTCTTGTTATTAGATTTCAGAGCTAGCACTCAATTGATCCAACAGAGCCATCCCACTTCTCCCGGATGCTGTGGCTGACTGCACCACGGCTCGGGCAAACATCGCGGTGCTGCGCAAGAGACTCCGCATTAGGGAGGTTGGTATCACAGCTAGAAAGACAGAGGGAGTTTTTCAAAGTGAGATTTTACTTTAGTCATGGAATTAAAGCAGTGATCTACAGTCACCTGCAGGGCTTGGATGTGGTCACCCAGTCGTCTGAACAGGCAGATAAGCCTTGAACCCGCATCTTTCATATACCAAATAGTTGTACCGATCATCTTGCTATAAGTAGGTTGGGGGGAAACATGACGCATACACACATGTATATCCACATCCACAATTCTACCCAAGACCTGGAAATTTGTCTGGATTAAAGCTGGAGAATCCCAACAAATGGTTTGATTTCAGTTTATGGACAATGGATAGACACTGAAGTGTCTATCACCCAAAAAATCTGAAGCGCTTTAGTAACACCTCCGACACACCTGTACAACTTGCAATCCAGCGCCTACTTAATCCCTACAGGGAAAAGCAATGCCATTTCCAGGGTGCCTGGCTCTGTTTAGCCTTTGTTCGGCTTCTCCTCCTGTCACCTCCCTCTTACTGAAGACTCTACAGTCAGTGATATGCTGAACAACTGGAGTTCAACTGAATTATAAATCACTTATTTTTGGTCTTGTAGCAGATGGATAAAATGTGTAACAAGCTGCAGACAAGTTTAGGCGGGCAACGTTTTTACAAACTCAACAGAGGATCAAAGGAGGCTGAGCTCTGTTATAGGCTTGCTGGTTCCCAGGAGCTCTCTCCCTTAATTAGCAGGCACTGCTCTAACAGGGTGTTTATGATATATTTCACGACATGGCCTTTTCAACATAACGCTTTTTTACTTCTGAATTCTTTAGCAATTTTTACTTGCATTAGAAAAAAAAAATAAAAGAACTGAGAAGAGCGTTTAAAATGTGTGGGAAAGAAAAATCCATTTCTTTTTGAAAGCATTCATCGAATGGGGGGGGGGGGGGGGGGGGGGGGGGACAGTTTTGGAAATTTTCCTCAAGTTTCCTCTTTTTTTTGGGGTGACCAGTTTAGCAAATTCACTTCAAGTTCCATCTTCTAAACCGAACCACAAGAATTTTCACACTGAATCAACTGCTTAACTAAAAGTTGGTATTTTTTTTTTCCTCTTGGAAAATCTGATAGCTAAAAGGATCAATGTTAAGCCTCTCACAGATACCATCATAACCTTTACTACAATCTATATTCCCTTGTCTTGATAGGATCATTATTCCTGAGTAGCGTTCCCATTGAGAGGTGCAATTACTGTACAGCTAAAAAAAGACGACTATTAGCAGAATTTCAAACACTACCACAATGCAGAGGTTTGTAATGTTAGCAAAATGTCTTTCAATCTTCTTGATATGCAGGCTCCTAAAAAATTGCCATCAGATGCACATTTCTTACAACGATTTCCCTTATTCAAGGTGTTGTAGAGCGTAGGCACAAACTTCCTTTTCTTCAGTCACTTTTTGTGTGGCCCTTGCAAAAGTTTTCTACCAAACTCCTCCCTTGCAGGGAGGCTTGTAGACCACAGGTTGAAAACAGTGTCCCAGCATATAATAACTGAACAATTTTCAAGCAAGTGTTTATTTCTGAAACACCAGATGAAGAAGAAATCCACAGCCTCACCTCTCTGCCTGGGAACGTACTGTCTGACGTAGAGACACAAGAAGAGGAAATCCGCTCCCAGCTTCCAAAGACCAGGAGACATCTTTGTCCTATCACTGTTTTAGGAAGATGTGCTTCTTTTGCCGCTGCCAAGAAAATTGTACCAAAAAGCTTTTTTAGCAGTTTGGGCAAGTTGCTGAATCCATCTGTCCATAACTGAAACTCTGAGCACTGTGCTGGGTCACAGGTTTAGACAGCCGCACTACATGTACCCAGAGAAATGATTTCTTCCTTGCCCACTTCTCAGAAATTTTAATTAAGCCATTGATAATGATTTACATTATTTCCTGATCTCATACAGAGAGCATCAGCCCCTCATGCCCACCTGGCATGCCACGGATCATATCCATAGACAGGAGCTTTATTTGCGTGGACACCTAGGAAAAGCAGTGTTACAGACCCACCATGAAGCCTTGCTCCAAGCTTAGGAGCAAAGGCCTAAACCAAGGGGTGAATCTATGCTGATGCCCAGAACATCAAGGGTCTGCGCAAAAGGCAAGGCCATTTTGCTGTTCGTGTGAAAGGAGGAGGTAAGGAAGGTTTGGAGGGGTAAGACGATTTAATAACTCCTTTTAAGCTACTGAAAACTAGAATGAGCCTGATCCTCCTTTCGGACTGGAGCCCAATTAGCACACATGTAAAATAGCAGACAGGAGATTAGAAATGTACTCTGCCGAAGGCAGGCAGCAGCAACACTGGGCCAAGAAATCCTCTATCCTAGTTCTGGGAACAATCTGGACTCTTTGCTCCTCCTGTAGTTGCCAGAATCATGCTTAACAAGATGCTAGCAAAGCCCTTCCATCCTCACAGTGAAGGATAACCAAACATTGCTACGCTGAAACTGTATTTCCAGTTAAAATTGTCACAGTGCCAAAAACAGCCTGTGCACTTGAAGCT